TAACCTATTAAGAGAAAATTGACTGAAAAATTAAAATTTCTAAGCTTTTTTCTAAAGAAATTTCCGAGTTTCTTTCTAAATAAATTTTTGAGTTTCAACCTAACTTTACTGAAAACGTCCAGATATGTTCTTGTCTTAAGTATAAATCAGCTGCACGCAGTATAACGTATGAGCGACATGATGCCGCGCATCGTCACTTCTACACCGGCGTAGCAAATAGCTAGAATATATCGAACTGGAAACCACCTTGCGCACCCACCTCATCCAGTTGTATGCTTCACGCAAATCCGTGTTTAATTTTGCCGATGGCGCCTTTAAAATTCTAACTTTCACTTAGTTTATTGACGTGTTTTATAGAAGCACCGAACATTTGTAAAATTAGTTTGAATACCCCTATAAGCTTACATCTGCATCAAGTGACAAATTGATAAGTCTATCTACTTTTGATTATTAACATTTGGCATGGTTTTTATTTTTAAATTTCTAGTAAAATAACTGCTCAGCAAATTTCTCATCCAGTTGTTTAATCTCGGTTTCCAGTGTTGAAGAACTGAGGATGTAGCAATTGACTCCAAACGTCTTCAATGAAGATGTGAGATACTTCGTGCTTTCCTTGCTTTTAATTCTCTGATGTATACCACAAAAGGCATCGTATGGGGCTGAATAATGTAAGGCATTGCCTAGCAAATAAATAAAACATGGAACTCAAACGTATAAAATTACACTTAGGACATAAATGATTGCATCACAAAATCCCAATATACAATAAAGCAGGTAAACCAATCATTTGAAGGATTCGTAAAAATTTGAAATGAATGGCACTTTCCTTAAAAGAATTTACCTTTGAAACTACTCATCGCAAAACATCTGTTCAATCCAGAATAAGCTACTAGATTTTATCTATAAATAACTCTTTGATGTGGGCTAATCTTTTATTTATGACAAACAATATTATTTAGTTCTTCGAATGCACTTCATTATATCTCTCAACATGACTGGCTTTAAATTAGCGATTTCCCGAACAATTATTTCAATCTCAACCGTCATCTTAAAGCCACAAAATCTTGTACACGAGAATTCAGTGCTGAAAAAATTAACGATTAAACGGTTATCTAACGTAACACACCAACACCCCCCATTAGATGAGAGGAAAACATAATTAAATTCAAGTTGAATTTTTCAAAAATATCTGAAACGAGGAATTAGAAAGAGTTCCATGTTTCAAATATACCGAAGGAAATAAATTGTTCTTTTTGAAAAAAAATTATATTCAGTAAATTTAGAAAAGAAAATGACAAGAAATGGTAAAACAATAGCAAAAATAAAAAATAAAAAAGTATAAAAAATCTCAAGACACTAGAAAATTGGTCAGAAAGAATTGAGGAGGCTACGATAATGAGGTGTTGTGGAGAGCGTGGCAGAGGCTGCAGCGTGGGGCTCTCAAGGGGCGCTGAGCAGGGCCGTAATGAGCCGTGGCAGAGTTCAGTGAGCTAAAAACCCCAGCGAGCAAAAGATCTGAGCTGGAGGAAGGAGCAGGAGGACGACTACGAACACCATAATAATAGGAGCTCATAATAGGAGTCTTGGATGAAAGCAGCCTGGCAACCAGCGTCGACCGTCATAACAGGAAGCCTATTGGAATATTACATTCCACAAAATATCCACTTTATTGGGGGCGTTTTGCATGCAAAGAAATAAATATAACCCAGTTTATGGCATCTGAAATGGTGGCACTCTAATATCAGCATTTACGTAGACTATTACATGAAAAATAGACATCTCTGGATCATATGAATGATGTAACCTAATTTAAACCCGTATAAATTTCTGTCTTACAGAAGCGAGTAATAATTTCCTTGGTATCTTAAATAGCAATAGCAAGTTGCTTAGACTCGCTTAAAATTTTATTACATTGAATTCACTATTTGAATTAAACCTTTTTATGAATCCGAAACGATAACGTGCTAATTCGATGTTGCGCGAGTTGTTGTGTAAGAAGGTTACGCTGGCAAGTCAATTCTGCAGAACAGGTTAACGCGGAGATGCTAGAGAGAAACGTGCATTCCAATGACGGAATGCTGGATGAAAACTCATTGAATTTTTAGCGATAAAATAACAAGTGAAATATAATGGAACACATGATGCCAAATTTGGGCTTTCCCCGAGGGAAGCTTCAAACACTTACACTTTTTTAATGGGGAGCTATACATTGTTCGAACGCTTCAGTAAAGCTGCGGAAATGATCCAAATTTACGTTTGACATTGAGCGTCAATATCAAGCTCATCACAACGAAATTTTTGTGCAACAATCGACAATACATTTGATCTAATTTTGCAGGTTAAATTCAGTGCCGATATTCACTTATCAATTGAGAATATTTTTCATAACTCAAATTTTTGTTCCCGTTTCCCACAATAGTTTACAACGATAATTATCTATTTTATTTTCAATATAAATATTTTGCATTTTGCAGCTTCCAATCTTCCTAACGCATTCATCAATAGCGATAAATTTGCGTGAATACTTAGGATAATATACGACTAAATTAAACCTTTTCCTAGTTCTTGCAAAGTAAATTTTGAACTCTAGCTTCGATATAAATTCAGATTAAGCGTTAATTTCATAACAATATTACAAACTTCGAATCTGGCTTAACACGCATTGGAGAACATCTAATCAGCACACGTTCATTTCCAAGCTCAATAAAACTTTATGTAAGCAGCATGTCTCGCTCATCAGTGTACGGTGTCATGAGATTATGTAAGTTTTATCGCTTGGTCACACCTGCTTAGGCTTCTACACAACAAAATCGTCTGATTTTCCAGGAATACACGCGAGTAAACAGGGGCAGCAATTATGAAGGCAAACACTACAGCTAGGGCTTGCAAAAACATTCTAAGGCAAAGCAGCTAGGGATTTTTTCGGCGCCGTGTTTGTAAGTGAATAAAAAGGCATCGTTCATATTGATAAAAAAACATTTTCATAATAGACCTACTTATTTGTCTTAATAGAATCACCTAATTTAATTAGAAGTTTAAATATCCAAAAATGTTGATAACAATACCGTAAGATAATTACCGGCATATTGAATAAAATTAACAAGCTATCCACAAGTTTTAATGTCACAAGTTTTTTCCGCAAGTTTTAATGTTTTTAACAATTGAAAAATTCAAGTTTATGGCATGAAGAAAAGCTTTCTTTCTTTAAACTAGTTTAGTACAAAGCACAGACATTCAAATTTTCCTCGAAAAGCCTTCTTGCATCATTCGTCTAGTTTTAGATGTGATGTCAGGTGGATCGATTTACTCATTTACGCTTCAATCTTCTCTAATCACAGTACAGATTTTCTACCCTGACTCTCAATTAGAATTTACTCGCTCGCTTGAGCGCGAGCTGGAAGCCGAGGGGAGAGAAGCCCTTACGCGTAGAGGGCAAGAGAGAGAGAGACAGCCTCCCTGAACTCTGCGAACAGCCTTAGCGTACTGATATTCAATATGATATAATTCTGATATAACGTATCTCATATAATAATATCGGTTGGAATAATCTCTGATGTAATTCTGAGGTGTTCTTGATCACGATTGATGTGTCGCGTAGTGAATACATTGCAGAGCGCAGATTATTGTCAACAGTAGTTGAGTCTTCATGAAAAGTTGCGGGGCTAGAAAAATAATGAGAAGTATATCCGATGATAAGAAATTTATTTATTGGACTAATATATTATTTTTATAGTAAACCTTAAACCTTGACGCAGGAAAAAGTAATCTAGATACAAAATTTGGAAAATTGGACTAAAAAAGAAATTAGTCAGCAATATTATTATTCAATACGAGACGAAGGGAACATCATTGTCACCATCAGCTGAACTTGCTACACGCGTCGCAGTCAGCTGAAGCGTATAGATGGCACATCTTCAGTCGCGGCTGTCACGGCTGGCTCATTACGCTGCGGTCACTTGCACCCTCAGCACCGGACGCTACTCTATCACCTCCGACAATTCATCCCAGCCATAATAAACCACCGTCTTCGTTTTGATCGCCGAAGATGTTCTTTGTATGTATTGTCAGTTTGAAGAATGGGTTATTCATGCTTATGGTGACTTTTATTTATCTTATTTTCATTCCGGCGGGTGGCGAACTGTTTTGAAAGAAAATTTACTGAATTTCAAACTTCTTGAGCGGCGTAGTGTTAAGTAAACGTGGTCGAACGAGCCCGGAGTCAGAAAAAATCAGTATAATTTCCCTGAAATAATGTTACCGAATTTAAGGTGTTGGGACTTTTACGAACACTTTTGAAGGCATTATATGATTATAGATTAAGTTGAACTTGACTTGACTTGCATGGGTGATAGGGTTTGTCTAAAAACAAGGTATTGGGTTGCAAATTTCAATGGATTTTTTCTGGTCTGACATATTTCGCGCATGTTTTTTAAAAATTATCTGCTCCTAAACGTGCAGTAAAAATTGTGCAATGTAGTTTAATCATTCAACGATTAAATTACAGTTGAACGATTTGGTCTATTTGCATATTTTCAGCAGCAAAGCTTTAGAAGTTCCTTAAAATTCCATATGATAAAAAAAACACCCTTGCCAATAACTGTAAAAACCTACGGAAGTTTCGTCATATATCACATGGTAGAAATAAATATAAAATAGTTTTGGCTAAACTTCTTAATTGTACTTCAAAAATATGATAGAGCTCTGACCGAAACTTACTCGAATCTTTAATGCTTCGTGTTTTATGGATTCAAATAGCCAGTAAAATATACATTTTCGGTTATGAAGACTTGAGAAGAATAAAGAATAAAGCAAGTGGGTATATACGCCCGTAGTTGAATGAACCCAAGGGACCCACGCAACTAAAATCTCGTCCTCAAGTCAATTGAAAGAAAAACATGCAAAATTTTTGGTCGTCACAGTTTGAGAGAAAATAGTCTTAATCATACCATGACAGAACACCCTAATGAAAAATTCGTGCATATAAGGAATATTTTACGTACATAGGAGGAAGGGATTGGATGTATTCAAGGTATAGGAGCGGATGCAGAACGTGTAGTTAGAATCCACTGGAGCTCCGGAGCGCCACACACCTCACTTCAGCACATCTCACCGCACACTGAGCCTGCGTGCCCTCTGATCAAACATGTCCAAGCAAGATCGTCTTATTACTTTTTCCACTGAACTTTACAATACAGAAAGCCGTGCTGGTGCTTTGTTCTCCCAAATAGTTTGGAAGAAATGCGGAGATGTCACTAGATGATTGTACAAAATCAAAACTTTTTCCGTAATTATATTACGAAATAATCATTCAATGCAACGACTAACAAACTAGCAATGTATTAATCAAATTTCTTCAATTAATGGATACATGTTAAATGTTTTACAATTTTGTGTGCTAACTTCGTCATTTCGACATTTATTAAAAATTGTAGATGTTATTCCATTAAAAGTTTTCAGTCAATGCTGAAAACTAATGTCTCAAGCAAAAATAAGAATAAAATTAAGGAGCGCAATGGCAATTGTTTTAAAATATTATCCTGTACTATGGCAACGACAATCAAGAATCCGTTGGTAAACAAAAGATACTTTACTGAATTATTTATATAGCCCCTGTAAAATTATTTAATTAATAAGCAATAGATTTTACCTTCATGCCGCTTCCAGACTCTAAAGACATGAAAAGTTATTGTCAATAAGTTTAGGCGCCAGTACGTATATAATATTTAAAGGTGATCCGATTCTAAACTCCACGGTTTCTACCCGCTACATTTAACTTACCTGGATGAGTCCAACTAGCCTCATTTATTTCACTCAGAGGGCCCAGAAAATATTTTCAATGTTCAATAAAAGTAAAATATGTTCAATGAAAGGAATCATACTAGTCATATTTATCCACATCAACATATGAACAAAAATTTAAATAGTTCATTCACACTTGTATTGTAAATTTCGGGATTGTTTGCAGTCGAACGCAACTGAGATGAGGCTAATTTCCAGCACTACAACAGCTCAACGGTTCTGTCGCTTTGTCCAAGACTGAAGAAATTCAGGGAACTGATTAATTAATTTCTGCTTGGCGCCCATGGCGTTGATATGATTAGTGCAATACTCAAGTTTGATTATGATTGGTGCCAATGACATTCATATGATTAGTGAGAAATACAATTAGTATAATGATTAGATCCCATGACATTTGCATGATTAGGAAAACATTTAAAGTAGGATTATGACTTATGCCGATGACATTCACACCATTAATGTAATACTCAAGTATGATACTGACTTGTTCAGATGCTAATCATATGATGATTAATCAACCATTCAAGTGGGATACTGATTGGGATCATTTACTTTCATAAGATTAACGAACCACTTTAGTACACTGCAAAAGATGAGGGGGCTTGGATACACTTTGTCATCGCAATTTTTTTAATCATTCACCCTTTTGTGAGTCATTCTGACCTATTAACTGGCTCGTTAAATTTGCATCATGATCCACTTCTGACGTCGAATGCTTGTTTCCAACCCTTGGACCCGGATGCTAGCACCCCGCATGCACATAAAAGTGCTACAGCGAAGTAATTGTACGTGTTACCCCAAGTAATTTATCAAAAGCATGTAACAAGTGAACATTATTTATTGACAATCGCACTTTTATGAAATATGATATATAAATACGGTTGCATTTGATTGTATGTCACACTTATCGGCTAGTGATTGGTAGCAATTGCGTTCGTAAGATTACGAAGCACTCGAGTAAGATATTGATAAGTGATGACGGCATTCCTGTTATCAGTGGACCGCGCTAGCAGGATATCAGCATTCAGTTGTGTAATTCGTTTACAAGGTGATTAATATCAGGGAAATTGTCGACTATCTTTTCTATTATTATCTGAAAATTTTGAGGTATAAAGTTGAAAAATAAACCAAGAATTTATAAAATTGCCAGTGTTTTCGAGAAAATTAGTCAATTCCAAATAATTTTAATTACAAAATTTGAATCTCTACTTATTTATTTTAATCGAAAAAAAATACGATTTTATTCACTCGCCTCCGATCTTTCCATGTCTGCTGCTCATGTTCCAAGTGACCTTTCCGATTAAATGCCGTAATAAAATATCAAGAGATATTGAAGATTCTCCGCAGTCTGAGCTGTAAGGCATCAAAGATTCTTCAAAGTTTTCATGCGCTTCATCTTTCTTTTTGTATATCAAACATAATACGTGCAATTCTACTTCTTCATGAACGAAACTTTATATTCAGCGAAAATAAAAGATAATAAGAATTTAATTTTTATTTTATTTAAAACTTTTTTAGTTGATTAGTTCAATTTTATTACACTCCGTAATGTAAGTACCACTGTAGAAATCTACGCTTTCTTTTTCTGTGATATATCGATGGGACTATAGTCTACAGACAATATTTACGACCTATATTTTTTAACGTGCAGCGTAAATGGACAGCAATTCGTCATATATATTATACTAATCAGCTTACAAGAGCCGCAGGTAATGACCGTTGCTACCGGTAATTACGGTAAAACAATTACCTGTATACCATTTCACTCCGGTAAAGGCACATATCACATGTGACAGTTTAATTCGATTAATTTTAAATCTTATATTTTTGATGGCCTTAAGTCATAATATTATTTCCAACGCTTTTTTATTTGTCAGGAGTGGCTACAAATAAAAAAGCAAAAAAATCGTCAGCAAAATTTCCCCAAAATTGCTTTCTCGTTATATTAATTCGTATTCAAGAAATTTGCCTTTTGATTTTATTTCTGCTTTCAATCAACCTTATTGAATCTTTATGATCATTGAGAAAATTTTACTGATAGGATTGCATTGTGATGATAAGTGGTCAATAAGTGTCATGTTTGTCTCCTATCTTCTTGTTTTGCCGTATATGTGACGATTAAACATGATTAAGCGATTGACTGACAAACCATTTGACTTCATTGGTATCCATATCTATAGCAGTGTATGCATAAACACATACATAAAAACTTTTTGCGTAACATTCTGAAAGGAAATTACATTTAGAATGGTTCTAAGAGGCAAAATTACATAATACTTCTATGAAATTAAGTGTGAAAGTGGTTTGTTTTCATCAGAAGTAATTTTATTATATCTACGCGTCATTACTTAGGCATTAATTTTTACTACTCTTTATTTTTGTGCTATTGATTGATTCTTCTGAAATAAATATATTTGTATGAATTGGTTGTTCTTTCCATAGAGCAAAATAACAAGCACTTGTTTTGACAGGAAGTTAATAAACGGTAGCGGAATGTATCAACATGTACTAGAAAATGTGGTAATACGTATTAAAAATGTTCTAATATGTAAATGTCAAAAAATCCTAATCCCTTGACCTTCAGAAAAGGTCGAGGGACTTCTGCTACTCTTTTGCCACACTCTTCAATTGATAGCAATTCTGAACAACTAGTTTTAGAATTGGTTGATGATTTCAGATATTTTTTAGTTTAATAATCGACAATAAGTTTTCATTCGATAAACACGTTAACTACGTCTGTCAGGGGCTGTGTAAAGCCCACGGAGTTTTGCGTGCTCTATCAAATGTTTTACCTATTCCATCATTAAGAACTCTTTTCCACTCATTGTCCTTATCTAAACTATCAAACACGTTATTAATCTGGGGTGGGGTATCTTTTAATTCAAGGAAACGGGTAATCACCTAAATTAATAAATTGTTGCGTACAATATTTCGGGTTAGGTATGATGGAAACAATATCTCTTTAACTCGTACTAATGTACTATATAGGCAGTCGAAAATTTTAAAACTTGAAAGTATGTACAAATTTCAGCTTTTAAAATTCATGAATAGGGCACTTTTCCATGATAAACGTCTTTTTAATTCAGCATTCGCCTCTCTTGTTCCTCAACATGCCCATGACACCAGGGGCATGCGTTTTAACTTACCCCCAGTTTGGTTAGAAATTGAAAGAAACGGTAAAGTTTTTAATTGTTTAAAAAAATTTAATGAATTGCCTGATGATTTTAAATAGATTGTTCTAAATTCTTTTTAAAGAATAAATTTTCGCGATTTTATTCTATCCCAGTTAATTTGACTTCGATTATCATGTAAGATTTTAGCAATTGCCGTATGTTATTGTTCTATTGAGAGTAATATCGCCTATGTCGCCTGTGAAGCTTTTTAGCTTATATGGGCATTCACATGGAAGCATTTTGTATTTTTTTCTTCAAATTTTCGATGTTCTCTTGTTATGTATTTTTTTGCTCTCCTGTGTGAATAAAGAATAAAGATCTATTGATAAAAAAGTTTAGCTACTTTTATTCTGAGCTGAATTTATGCACTCCACCTTTATTCGGTTATTTTGTAGATGCAATTTATACTTCACGGAGATCATGTCATACTGTAACTCAGCAGCTGCCAAGCCGAGACAACAAAGCTTTTCAGTCGAGACGTTCAGCTGAAATTTTCATCCCGTTGACATCGCCCTACTTGAGGATGAATAAACAACGAGTAGAACTTTTCCTTTAGGTTTAGGTTACTTTGAAATCAGCGATACATAGAACGGTTAAGATTTGAAACTACATATTTATTTCACTAGTAAAATTATGACCGCTTATTTTATCATAAGGTGACAACAACCAGAGAAGATTTTCCTAATGTCCAGTCATTTTTCTTTATTAAAAAGTTAAAATTTAGATATTCAATTAAAAAAACGTAGGAATAAACTACCATTAAAAAGCTTTTAATCTTTCCGTTATAATAAGACAATTTATTGTTCGCTGCTTCTGGTGCTCGTGGATATTCCGTCTTTCAAAAGCTATCGAAAAGCAACATATGATTTTTATAGGCTCTTGGCTATAATTTCCTCACATTTAACAAGCTGGAGAAATTGTATGCTCCATGTACATTATTTTGATTCACAGATCAATTTTAGATGAAATAAAATACTGTGTGTTTTGTTCTTCATTTCAGAACAATGCAACTCAATCAACTAACTTTTTCCATTAAGAGCTTGACTGCTTACCGCACTCGCGGGATTTATCGACGTCGCTCACAGTGGACGATGACGCACTGTAGACGACGCACTGTAGACGACGACGCACT